GCATGGCGTGTGTCTGTGTATTTAAGTGCATTTGCATGTGTGTGTATGCATGCCTGTTTGCACACACGTGTGGGAGTGTGTGTGTGGGAATCACACAATTGTCTGTTTCACACCTGGCCAGGCCAGAAGTGAGTCAGCAGTGAGAGGTTGAGTTGTATTCCCTGTCACACTGCTCAAAGTTGTGTTAACCTTTAAGACAAAAGACTGTGACGTGTGTGGGCCTCTGCTAATCCTGTGAGGGAAGCCATCTGAATGTCATGTATTCTTCTAGCAGCCATCAAAATCTGATTTAAAATGTGTGGTTGAGGTCTCTCGGGAAACCTTTCAGCAAGTTTAACTGAATTGTAAGGGCATTTTGGTCAATGTGAGTCTTCCTGCGAAATGTTGCCCTAATAACACTCCTGTATTGTCATTTCTACTGGAGGCTTTCGCTTAGACTGCAGTGTAATTAGATGCACCCAGCACACAGGAAATCAGAAGCTTTCAAAATGATCTGCTGCTGTTTGTCTTTCACTTTTAAATTTGACTAATACATGTGTTAGTAAAAAGCATTTGTTACCGGATGTGAGGTTAAAAAAAGTCCTACTCATTTGTACTTTTGACATCTCTCCTAAATTCTCTGTAACTTCTCTGTTCATCATTTTTCTCAAGTCACATTGTAAAGTTTAAGGAAGACAAGACTGACAGCGTAAAAAATCTGAGGTTCTCCACAGATTTTGATAATGTGCTAAAATATCTATTGCCCTTGAGTTCACTGTCTGGCCAACAGCAGCTACAAAGCAAAACCACAATGAAAGCATGAAGCAGATCACTGAGGGCTCAGTTTTTGGTGGCAGTCTTTCTTTGTTCATTAACCTTGTCAAAGCATATTTCACATATGAAAGAGAAAAAACCCAAGAGTTTTTAAAGTTTCTTGCATAAGTGCATTTATTTGAAAGAGGTCAATAAGCTGGAGGCCACTACAGCACAAGTGTTGCGTAGGACAGGATTTCAACCCTGCTAAGTTTTTGGATGATGCGGTAAAAGAGAGCCATTACTAAGTGCTCAAGAAAACAGACAAAAAACAGAAGAATGACATTCTCAGAAGAGGGAAAAAACTTTAGTCAATTAATTTTATATTTTCAAAACATGCTTGCAGCATGGCTCTGGGGATGGTAATGTTGATCAGCTGGTCGGTTCACCTTAGTCCAAACTGAAATATCTCAAAAGGCGTGAGAGGGATTACAATGAAATTTTATACAGAAATATGTGATCCCCTGTCAATCTATCCTAATGACTTTGGTGATCATCTGACTTTTGCATTTGTGGTTTTAAGCAAAATTGACGTTCGACTCTACAGTTTTTGATCTAGCATTATCATTTGGTTAATATGTGTCCAATACCTTAGTTTTCAACTAAACTACCTGTAAAACTAACGACATTCCCATCAACTTCACCTGTACTTTGTGTTTGGTACCAATTAGTAAATGTAAAATGCCAAAATGCTGAACTAAAATGGTGAAGATAATAAACATTAGTCCTGCTGAAGATTAGCATGTTAGTATTGTCACTGGGAGCATGCTGATTTAGCATATAGCTAAGTACAATCACCCAGAGCTGCTAGCATGGCGGTAGAATTTTAGCCTTGTTTAAATAAATAAACATATTTATTACAAATATATATAAAAGAAAAAAGTAAATATTAAATCAATATGTTGCCTTTATATCTATTTATACTTTACAATCCTCTAAGTCTCTGAAAACGTCACAGGTGACTCATAAAAACTTGCACAATAGAGTCATTTGAACAAACACACGTGGCGTATACGATCTTCTGTGTTTATTGTGTTTAACACTGTAGCCCATAGGACTACAAGGATGGAACAGAACTATCCATCAAATGCAAATCCGAGAGTTTTCCCTGGAAGAATAAAGGCTGCAGTGTGACGTGTGCTTTCCTGTCGAGTCGGTGACGTTACCTGGGCCGGATCATCAACACTGGCAACAACAGTAATTCTACACCTGAAAAAGCAGCCTTTCAAGCTGGCTGTGAACATGACAGCCTCTTTTTTTTCCTCTGTTTTTTCATGTGGCTCAGTCAACTCAGTGGGGAGGAAGTGATAAAGTTGCTGTAAGATGACTACATCAAAAGCCTTTAACCTGGTCCAACAGACCGCACAAGTCATGTACAAAGAGCAGCAGGGGTTAAAAAAATGATTAGAAAGACGGGGTGGGTGAAAGATGAGTATAATGTTTTGTTTAATGGTGACTCGTAGGCAGAAAAGTGAAGTCTGAAAACCCACAATACAGTGAATGTCAGCTACATTTGCTTGTATTTAGAGAGAAGGCTTCTATGGAAATCTTGCTAATAAATGTACTATAGGAAGGATGACCTGGGTACTCACTATTTCCACGCTCAAACTAATAGAGTTCCTCATGAATGTTTGGTCTAAATGGTGTGTTATGGCCTCAAGTGTGTGTATTTATAGAAAGCGAAACAAGAGGACAAACAAAAGTAGATTTCAGACTATGGATGCTGATCATCTAAAGGCAAATTTTGGACATGGTGTTGAAAAAACACTGATGACAACCTAATAGGACACACAGACCTCAGATTTAACACAATTTATCTGAGGGTGTGTCCAAACTGATCAGTAAGTGAATTATGAAGACGTATTTGACCTCTGGGTGTGTAGACATAGATGTTTGAAAAAGATAGTGAAGTCAAGATGAGTAGAAAGTGGAAAAACGCCCAGAGTCACCTACTGTATTTGCACATACAGCTCATAATTCCCAGCTACGCCCGTCATGTGTACGCCAAAGACAATCAGTCCCCTAGCTCCTGCCATTGAAAGTACTCATTCACAGGGTGAGAAAAGGTCCTGGCTTTGCTTGGCTTGAGGTAAGTAGAAGCATCATAAATTCAATTTTGAAATAACAGAATCTAGGATATCCTGTGGTTAACCACCAAGGCACAGACATCCGATTGTCTAACCAAAAGGAGAACCCACGCCTGTAATCCTGTCGGCTCTGATAGATGGAATATGGATGTTTGAGTGGATTTCATGAAAACAAGAATGACTCCAGATGCCCTTTTGCCGTGAGGAAAATCACTTATTTAGCTTGCCAAATTGACTCTCGATAGCATTTACATGGTAAGTTCGTACTCAAATACAGCAGAACTTTTGTAGTTGATTCCTCTGGAACATTTATTACATTCATTGATAAAAAAAACGATACCTTACACACTTGTATTTCGCTATGCATCTCACAACGCCGTCAGTGCAATACAAATCATTCGTAAGCGGGTGTGTGCACATGTATGTTTGTGTCATGACCTACACTGAAACCAGCCAGTGTTGTGACACGAGGTGAAACGTCAGCGGCAGCCCTGCAGGCCCAGCCTCGACTACACAATGAAGACATCCTTAGAGATGGCCTGTGTTTACTGGGTTGTCAGGGAGTCCTCCACAGTCAGGCAATAAGGAAGGGGATTATTTGCTTTGGCTGTTGAAGAAGGCTCTAATCACATCATTGTGACATGTGATCATGTTTGTCCTCCACGCCACCCAACTCTCTCCATCCCCGCGTAGTTTTTCTTCACCTTTCACCTCCTCACCAGGGGTCTTCCTGTCTTTTTTGTACGAATCGAAACATGTCTGAGCGTGAGTGAAAACATGAATGACTACCAACCCAGTGACTGCTCACTTATACACTTCTAATGTATTTGCTGTACGTCAATCAGAACAAAATGGCTTAAAATGTCTGTCCTCATCCACACTCAAAGAAAAACCTTTAATGTCTGTCACACTATAATCTTGACAGGCTGCATTTGTAATTGTTTTCTTTTTCGCTCTCATTTGCTCTTCTATTGTCTTCCCTACTACCCAGCATGTGAAAAAAAAAAAAAAAAGGTACAAGATGAAGTAGATCGCTCACGTTGGGAGGAATCGTCATGGTTAATTGCCACATCTCGGTCTCTTATCTGATCTTGCAGGGCTGTTATTGTAATGAAACACCAGTGGAGACGAGCCAAGAAAGGTGAAGATTACACAGCGTGAGCGATTCATGGCACAATCCATCCCTTCATTGCTCTGGGTTTTCCACAGTCCCAGTCCAGGAAGTACAGTGGGGCATGTGAGGGCTGGATGTGGGCTCGCGGAGGATAGCAGCAGTGCTGAGGTAACCACTCTGATAAGTGATGCATCTCTGCACTGCATTGTGCATTGTGCTTCAACATGACAACCCCTTTGTGAAACAGCACGGTAGAGTTAAGATGCAACAAAGGACAATTATTTTCGGAGATGGAAAGGTCAGGTTCCAGCTTGTCCATACGTCAGTGTGAGGGTGATTTTTAGCTAGTGAGGATTTCAACACATCTTCAAGTGACAATAATTAATGATGGAGTGCATTACTCCATCAGGTCTGTCCTATGACTTGCTTGGCTTTGGTGCACTCAGGTATTGCCCACTGTTACAGCTTTTTAAAGGCAAACTCTATGAAATCTTCCCATGGTCTGGTTTATAAGGCTGCCTTTTACTGCCCTGCCATGGTTTGAGTAGGTATTGCTGTACTTTATTTTTTTATCTCATAATTTTTAAACAGCTGGAAACTTCTCTTAATTATGGTGTTTACTTTTAAACCAGTGTCAGTGGATGATTAGAAATAAAAGACTAATGCTGCCACATTTTCAAGTTGCAGAAAACAAACCTTTGTTATTTTCTAAACTTCAGTTGAACTGAATCTCACAATCCCTTTCTCCAAAAGTAAGGTGGTTTAGTAATGACTTGGGTTGGCTAATGTCCAAACATCCTGGGTCTGGAACAGATGTCTGATGCATTTTTGTTCCAGTTCAGATTAAAGAAGGAATTAGTGGTTGAATTTATTGGAAAGTATCAACAATTGTTTGAATTATGGTTTGGACTGAATGGTGGCTGTCACTCATGCCTATTAAGTGTTGATTTGTTGACAGACACAACAATGCTCCATGTAAGACAAGCAATGGAGGCCACTCACTCTCATTCTGCCAAAAGACATCCTTTTAATGACATACTGGATTAAATAGTGTGCTCAATAATCAGAGGTGATTTACTTCCTGTTTTAAGTGATGTAGTTGATCTGCTGTGTATTCTCAGTGATAACAGTTCACATCAACTTCATCTCTTAACTCGTCTCAGGCAGGAAGGCGTCTTTTGTTTGGTCCCTCACAGTTTTTAGGAAGGTCATGATACCGGAGCCACCGGTACCCCTCTCCTCCAGTGCAGTGGGCGCTCTGCTGATCATCTCCGCCTCGAGGTCCCGGCTCTGGTCACGGAGTTGTCGTGCGCGGGCAGCAGGTACAGTGATGAAGCGGCTGACAACGTTGATGTGGTAGCTGCGCAAAGCCAACAGTCTTGTGACACAGAGTTGAAAAGCCTGGCTTAACCGCTCGTCGGCCTGCTGCTGGACAAAACTCCTCAGGGAGGGTTGCAACGAGATGTCCTGGATCAGCTGCTTGTGAGCAGGTGGCATGTAGTTCCTCATGCGGGTAAGAAAGGCACCTATAAAAAGGCATTATCCTCGCAGTGAGTGCTTTTTATTCTTCTCCAGCACTGATGCAATCATTCAAAGGACAAAACATTAGCCATCGTACCACTTTTTTCTTCATGTTTGACTCCGAGAAGTTCATCAAAGCAGTGCAGCAGGCTGCTCTGTGCAGCGCTCCCTCCTGAGTACTCCATCGCTTCTGTCTGGACCCCTTCATAAACCAAACCCTTTGGCATACTGGGGTTGTCTTTCCACCTATTTACAAGTACATGGACACACACACAAACACACACACACACACACACACACACACACACACACACACACACGTGTACACATTTCAAAAACACGTTCCACTGTACAAATAAATGACTAAATAGATAACTAATGAAAACAATATAAACAAAAGTTTCTGTACCCAGACAGGTAGATCCTCATGATGCCATAGAAGACTGCAGGCTCCACGTGCACTTAAGAAAAGTTGCATTGATCAAAAATATTTGTTAACAGGATAAATATCGATACATTTACGTTATATGTCTGAGTGACTACCTTGCATCAATTTGAGTGCATCTGTCATGTCTTCTATAGACTGGCTGATGTTCTCCAGAGCCCTGGCCACAGCCTCAGTGTCACCACACCCGACACCATTGATCACAGTGGGAATGCTCTGCAACGAAGGTCCAGTTACAGTGGCTTTGTCTTAAATATCCTTGATTTATTTGTTTGTTTTAATGGAACTTTTATGCTCTTCAGTCGACAGCTCAGACACAAACACTCCCCTAGATAGTTTTTTTCACAAGTACACATTGTATCATTTGACTTATTTTTCACCCTCAGTGCAGGAACTGCTGCCAGCTCCACCAGCAGAGTGACCATGAAGAAACCCCGCACACTGTCTCCTCCTGGGAGGCTGACCAGGAGCTCCAGGTTCCTGTGTGAGGTAAATAAACCAATACATTTTGCACACATCTAAATATTATCATACATAATGAGTAGAGGAACTGTATTAAAAGGAAAATGTACTCACTCCATGTCAAAAGGCCTGGAACAGGAGATACAAAGATGTACATGAAAAACTAGTAAAAACACTTATCAAGGACGTAATCAAACCACCTACGGATGAAAACTGGCCTCACCCCTCAGGGTCCCTCTTCCTCCAGTTAGCCAACACTCCATCAGCATGGGTGAAGATTGGGGGAAGTCCTAAGCGCTGTGACACCTCGCAGAATGGAACAGCCAGGTTACATGGCAGCGTCTTAAAGGAAGATTATTAAAAATGGAAAAGCATTCATATAAACTGTATGTTGTTGGGCAACTAATAACAGTGCAGGAAGGAAGGAAGAGGGGAAAAAGTAAATATGACAACAATACAAACCGACAGACATAGAGTTACCTCAACTGTGTCATTCTCGCCCTCCTGCCAAACATAACCCATGGTCATCGCGCTGAGGGCCAGGTGGGCCAGCCGTAACTCACGGTGTTTCTGCAGAAACTTGCTGCTCAGCATCGGCATCTGAATAGAAAACAACACTGAACCATGGCTCAACAAACACAGTGAACTGTCCTTTGCCAGTTTCTTGTCCCTATTTACCTCGTTAATATGGGAGCGCAGCTCATGAGACTGCACGAGCTCTGGGACTCTCAGGGCAATATCCATCCATGGCTTGTAGTATGGTGGAAGGTCTTTCTTTGAATATGAAGTTGCAGCAATGTGTGCATCAGGAGAAAATGTTCAAAAGGAAATGAAACACAGCAGTGCACAGATGTGAATTTGCAAATGATGGAACAATCAGACACATTTTTAATTTGAATTTAAAGGCTTGTGAGCCTAAATTTCAATTTCATTTTATGTTGTTACGTGCACAGTGATCTTGGATTTGTAGAGGCAAATGTGATTTTGTAAACACATGCTGCCTGTTGGAATGAAGTTCAATACACAAAACAAACATGAAAAATGCCAAATTTCAACTTCTCTCAGTCAACTGATCTCAATCAATAACATGAGCCACGAGTTCACAGTTTTATAACTTGTAAATTATCAGCACCATATTTGTTTCTTTGTCTATAAAGGAATCAGTATTATTGGATTTTGTTTAATTAAAGTCCTATTTACAATATTATCCAGACCCTACAGTCTCCTGGCAGTCAGATTTTTGTGTGACTGCCTGTGTAAAAAAAATTTTTTTAAAGTGAAAAAAAGCTTTTCCACCTACCAGAGGCTCAGGGAGGATGAAGCCGAGCTCCTCAGAGACATGGTAGGAGTCCAGAGAGAAAGGAGCTTTGGAGTCAGTTTCAACCGCAGCCATAGAGAAAGTAACAGAAAGCCACAGACAGCAACAATCCTCTGACTATCTGAATAGTTCAAGAGACCCTCACCTGACTGGACTCTGGCACAGAGTTCACTTTACAGTTGTTGTCATCAATGGTTATAGCTTACACAACATTTATCCCTCACTTCTGCTGTTGCACAATTCCAAGTGAAATGTGGCAAATCATTGCATACGCTTCACTTTGTGAATCATTAAGTGACAGACTTCAACTGTTATGCTACACTTTCACAAGCATCAAAGCTGAGAAAAGGCTTTGACCAGCACCTGCTGAATTATACAGAAAATATACAATCAAAAGAAAATGCCAAATGTTATCTAATCTGTCTAGTCCTATATGTCCGTGCTCTCTGCACGCTGACACCAAATGTAGGGTTTGATTTACTGTACGTCTCGTTTTTAATGAATCAGGAAGAACCTGAAAAGAGGGAAACAGGGACAGGCTAAAACAAACAGCCATCACAACATATATTTATGTCTTAGTTGTTATTACTTCTGTTTCTCTGTTAATGGAAACTAACATTGGTTAATTGATTGACTACTTTAAAGTTAATAGAAGAGTCTTTCTTACAACAAAATTGCTATAAGAACCTTTCTTTTTATTTCTTTCATCTATTTTATTTTGAAGGAAAATATTCCAGCCTTTGCTCTCTGCTTACTATCAACTGCTTATTGCTGTGAATTAAGGGCAGGATGAAGGAAATGTAGACTGTCAGCCTCACCTGCTGGAGCAGACTGAACATTGCAGGAGTTGAATAAAACAGACAACATAGATAAAATATGTCACTCCTCTGCTTCGGTATCATCAAGTCCTCCAGAGCAACAGCAAAAGTGTATTTCACTTTATGAGTTGGCTGAGGTCATTAACATACGTTGTCCACTCAGACAAGTAACTCAATAAAATAGAAATGTAATAGGATAGAAATCTGTTTAAACATCACAGAATGATCCTTGTTGCAATCAGCTTACCAATTTGAAGCCTTTCTTTTACAACAACTGCAGTGCAGGTTTGGACTTAATGCACTCTAAAAGTTGTGAGTATAAAGGTCAACTGTAATTTGATCCTCTTGGTCCTGGAACAAAGTTAAGATGTACAAACACTGGATTGCATTGTTCGACTGTGTAACTTGAATGATGTGGTTGACGGCAGCAGAGAATGAGGGAGGAAAAACATAAAATAACTCTTCCCTAAACTGCATCATCTGACGCTGCAGGGATGGAGTTACTGCATTGAACTGGAGTGGAAACAGCCACTATCTCACTGACAGTGAAAACTCAGTGAAAACATGGCTGTCACCTGTGAATGGTAAGTAGCTTTTTGTTTATCCAGGAGCAATCGTGGTCAGTGATTTCTTTGCTCTGCATTGTTTGAGGTTATCTAGTAACTACATTGCCCCAAACTACAATAACTGAAGTGACTGCGTGTGTCATCGCTGTTAATGAGCCATTCTCCTAGTCATTAACACTGTACCAATAATTGTCTTGGATAAATATCATGATATATGTGAATGTAATGCACAGCAAGAAGATTCAACTCAGTAACCTGATCCTCATACACTTTTTAGTATAGAGAGCAGGTTTATTGACGAGATTCATAGAGACTTAATCATTCTGAATGACCTTGTTTGTCTTAAATATGGAGTAAAAAAAAAACTGCTAACACAGTAGCATTATTGGCCAAAACAATGATATGAGATTTTGGTAGAATACAAGAAATAACATTAAGGGGGAAAAAATTCAAACTGCCTGGTGATACTTCAATTTGGTGAGGACAGAAATCCAGTTATGGTTGTTGATTGCAGTCAGTCAGGTTTATGCAATATATTTGAATCTATAATAAAAGAAGATCTACTGCAGTAGAGACAGCATTACAACAGCAAACTGGAGACTATACTTGACCTACTTCCCGTAGACGTCAAGATACCTCAGCTGCTACTTCAATAGGTCTCTAATATTTGTCTCTGTCCCCCAGCTGTATGAAAGTGCAGCACTATATCACTGGTGTAACAGCAACAAAGCTCAAAAAGGGACATCAATTTTGATCTCCTTTATGTATACTCATTATATTTTAATATACGAGAATTTATACATGCAAATTCACAATTATAAACAAACACTTTTAGTCCATATAATTTAACATCAATTTATTGAATACTTTTCTCCATAATGTACAGTGTAAAAGAGCCACAGAGCTCAACAGCTACTACAACTCATGCATTTTTCTTTTGAAACAGATTTGTTATTTGTATCCTTGGCATCTGATTTCTTGGCATTCTTTTTTCTTAAACTGGTGTCATGTAGGCTAACTGCCATGCATGTGACCACTGTGTGTAAATATAGACTATTTACTCTATGCAACACACACACACACACACACACACACACACACACACACACAGGTGCACATGTTAATAACTACTTTCTTTCAGCTGGATGAGTTCCACCTGTCCTAACTGGAAACATAGTGCAACCTCTCCTGGATACAACACTATCAATTATCGCTTAAGGGAAGTGATTTTTCATTCTGAGGTCTGTACTGCAATACTGTGCAAACTTTATGTAAGCCGGCCTGAGTGCATGGAGGGTGTATGATGTATTTTATCAAACCCACAACATAAACAAGTGTGCAAAGTACGATCCAGATTCTTTTAAGGGAGAGATTTAGACAAGTGCTGGACTGCAGGTCAGTCTATCTAGGCTGCTTAGGAGACGTGGAATGGGATTTGTGCGACTTTAAAGTGGATCAGTGTTTTGTAATGAATGGGTTTTTTTTCGTCGGTGCGCCTGCCTATTATTAGCTACGGAGGCCTTACAGTAAGTGGAGGTGGTTCCATGACGGTCAGAGCTGCAGCTCTGCAACGCACCGACAGGCTCCAGATCAGCCTTCGTATTTTTGGCAACGCGATCGGACTTATCGCGCTGATCCAGAGGACTTCTCCTGAAACATCTGCGGTCGGCCGCCTATTTTCAAGCCTCGTTCACCCTGCCTTGAAGATGAAGTTAAATACGAGCTGCCGTCAGGTGCAAGCCGCATCCGATGGAGCCCTGCTTTTTATCTCGTTCATCGACCAACCCGATGCAGCACTTCCTTATGTTGCGGTAAGGGGGGGGAGGGGGAAATGACACATATCCTGCAGGGGAATCAAACTGGTTTTTTATCACCCATTAGCTGGTTTTGCGATGAACACTGAGCCAGATAAACAGGCTCAAGAGTCAGCGACGGGGTGTTACATAACGTGTAATGCAGCAGAGCCTCATGACTAGTGTCTCGGTGGTGGAGGGACTGTTCGGTCCTTCTGGTAGGATATGCACAATTTTATCATCTTTGTTATGGATGATAACTGAAGCTGCAAGCTTATTTAATGGCGATGTATGTAAGAGGATAGACCGAAGGCGCTGTAGGGTTTATATAGAATATCTGACCATATCAAAAATGATTAATTAATTCGGGAGTTGCGCAGTGTAGACTGTAACGGGAATGAGCAATAGGCTATTAGAGGCGGTGTATCTCTATTGTGTCATACAGGCCCAGCCTAAGGTCAGGCTGTCAGATGTTTATATATACATATATAAATACATATAGCCTACTTATGTATATATATATATATATATATATATATATACCTAGCCTACAGGGATGCAGATAGGGCAGTCAATGAAAGATTGATTTCATGAATGGCTGCGAACTGCAAGTGACCGTTAGGGGAAAAAAATCATAGTAGCCCGTGGTAGTAATCTTTAGATCACTGTATAAATCAGAATATAAAATTCTTGCTATAAGAGATAGATACTGTTTTCTCGTTGTATCGCGTCATCACAGAGTCAGACCTTTGGTTGTAGAGTAGGTGACCAATAGTGATGCTTTAGGAATCATAGTGAAAACAGGGGCAGTTGTGTCTTTCTAGTGGGGTCCTTGGGGTCCAGGCAGGCTCAGGGACACCAGGTCTAGCTGATCTCATTCATAAGAAGATTGCAGTGTCTGAGTTTATAAATATGAATGACTATTCTGATCAAAGGTTCCCAGTGCAGTAACTGTTTCAAGGGGAGGGGTGGAGATGCTGACGCAAAACTCAAATGGTGGTGTGGTATTTAAACACATAGGCTCTGGATCTGGGAGTCAAACAAGACGTGACTAAGTTTGGGACCCATGGATATTCAGTACACAGAGTTTGATGTCCTGTGTGCAGTGGTGGCACAAATTAGTAAAAGTGAAATAAGACAACTACACTAGTATGACATTTGATGATCACAGTATCTACTGTCATGTTTAAATGTTGCTGCTTTTTGTAGAATAAAATGAAAAATTGTTGTCAGTATAGTACATGAAAGATTGTCTGATATAGGCTGTGACACACAGAGACACAGACTACAGTTCCCAAGGAAACCAGCCCGGGTACCTAAATCATCAGCCACCATTTTCAAGAGACAGAAATAGTCTGTTTACCTATTCCCTCCATTTCATTTAATGAAGTCGTATTTGTGCGTGTCAGTTTTCTAATATTCATTGCTATGAATAAGGGCTGTGTTGATTGAAGCTAAGCTTTAAGTCAAGGTTGTTAGGATTGTAATATAGGAACCGCAAACAGGGAAAAGTATTTTAGGTTTGCAGAGGGTGATGGGATTACAGAAATATGTGGATAGGATTGTATCAGCCTTGATTAACCCATAGAGGACAAACAGTTTATTTTGAAATAATTGTTTTGAAACCGGATGTGCTTTTCCCTTTTAAATTTAACTAAAGTGATGAAAATAGTTGTGTCATTTTGCAGTACAGGGCTGTTGTAAACTCCTTTTATTTTAAAGTGCCCCCTCTTTGTTTGCTTGTCTCTTTAAATTTTTTGCTATATCAGGAACAAGGACAGGGAACTTGTGAATGGGCACAGGGAAGTCACGAGACCATCCATTGATAGCTCTGCAGGCAGAAAAAGCAGTGCAGATGATAAGGAGTAGTCACAGTGTCTAATATCCGTATCGATCCATGTTCCTGTACTGTTCAGGACAATAGTTTAGGATTTCTGGTGCTGATGAAGCTCTCCGTGCTCCTTTTTATTTGGACAGGTCCCAGTTGACAGATTCTGATATGGACTATGAGAGGCCAAACGTTGAAACTATCAAGTGTGTGGTGGTAGGAGACAATGCAGTTGGAAAGACCCGCCTTATCTGCGCCCGGGCCTGCAATGCCACACTGACTCAATACCAGTTACTCGCTACTCATGTGCCCACGGTTTGGGCAATTGATCAGTACAGAGTATGCCAGGAGGTGAGTATGCAAGCTCATAGCTTTACTAAGATTACCTGCATGTTTTTAAAAAATATGAAAACATGTTTTTAAGGATTTAAATCGCTGGTAGCTGGACTAGATTTAATTTATGAGTAAATCATATGTACCTTTTTAGCTTTGCAATCAATCACTAGCAATTTACAGAAACTGGTGGTTAAATATGCATGAATGTGTTATCTCTTCTTAGGTATTAGAGCGCTCCAGAGATGTAGTGGATGATGTCAGCGTGTCCCTTCGGCTCTGGGATACTTTTGGTGACCATCATAAGGATCGGCGTTTTGCATATGGCAGGTGAGATACTGTAAAATTCTGTGTTAGTCTACCAGCACATGCTCTGGTGTTGTCAGAGTTCAGAGAATTTATTTGTCCTGCGTCGTCCCTTTAGGTCTGATGTGGTGGTACTGTGCTTCTCAATCGCCAATCCCAACTCTCTGTACCATGTGAAGACCATGTGGTACCCTGAGATTAAGCACTTCTGCCCCCGTGCTCCTGTCATCTTGGTGGGCTGTCAGCTGGACCTGCGCTATGCTGACCTGGAGGCAGTGAACAGGGCACGGAGGCCTTTAGCTAGGTAGTGGGACTTAAGTTTGAATGCAAGAATTTGAAGTTTTCAAGAGATTGTTTGAGATTTGTTTTGATTCACGCTGAATTGCTTTTGATGTCTTTTCTTCTTTTTCAGACCCATTAAATCGAATGAGATTCTTCCTCCAGAGAGAGGCCGGGAGGTGGCCAAAGAGTTGGGAGTGCCGTATTATGAAACCAGTGTTGTTGCTCAATTCGGAGTCAAGGACGTCTTTGATAATGCTATCCGAGCTGCGCTCATCTCTCGCCGCCACCTGCAGTTTTGGAAATCTCACCTCAGAAATGTGCAGCGGCCTCTCCTTCAGGCGCCCTTCCTGCCACCAAAACCTCCCCCACCTATAATCACTGTGCCTCCTCCCCCAACCACCACAGAGGAGCATCCAGTCGGCCTCCTGGAGGACCCACACTGTGCTGACGTCATTCTGGTTTTGCAGGAGCGACAGAAAATCTTTGCACACAAGATATACTTGGCGACATCCTCTTCAAAGTTCTACGACCTCTTTATTATGGACACGCAAACGGAGGAGACTGAAAGGCCCCCTCGTGGTCCTCTCTCTGGCCGAGAGCTGCTGATGCGTGCTGCTAGCTTTGATGTTTGCGAGAGTAGCGATGATGGAGACAGGGCCAACCTGAGGGCCTGCACTAGCGATGGGACCTTGAAAGACTCTGAGGGGGGCCGAAGGGGCAGGCTGCTCTCCTCGTGGAGCCGAGCCTTCGTCAGCATCCAGGAAGAGCTGGTAGATGACCCTCTAACATACAGCCCTAGGCCCATGACTGTAGTGCACATGGACCAGTCCATGCAGCTCGGTCCTTTCCGAGCAGTACTTCGCTACCTGTACACAGGTCAGCTAGACGAGAATGAGAAAGAGCTAATGCACATTGCACACATTGCTGAGCTGCTGGAGGTCTTTGACCTGCGGATGATGGTGGCAAACATACTTAACAATGAAGCCTTCATGAACCAAGAAATCACCAAAGCCTTCCATGTACGGCGCACAAACAGAGTCAAAGAGTGCTTGGCTAAAGGCACCTTTTCTGGTGAGTGGAAATCATTAAACCATGTTTGTTCACGTGTTCTGCTTGAAATACACTGGATGCAGGTGTGAGTAAGGTGCTACCAGTGTCTCACCTCTGTATTGCAGATGTAATATTCAAGCTAGACGATGGGACGATCATGGCTCACAAGCCTCTACTCATCTCTAGTTGTGACTGGATGGCAGCTATGTTTGGCGGGCCTTTTGTGGAGAGCTGCACCAAAGAGGTAAGTCTCCTTACATCAGTGATTTATTGGGGTGTGAAATAAAACCAACAGGGCTCAAGTACAGCCTAAAGTCAGTGCTGGGTAAAACATTTATTCCACGTTGTTAATAATTTCCACTGGTGTTCTTATTGCCAGTCGATTTATAAAGCAGTAGCGTTTAAAATGTAATTATTTTATAATTACACAAAGCACACTATTGCAGCAGAGATCAATACATCTACTGCCCCAAGTCGTGCACCAATGAACTACGTGGTCTGTGTACAGAATATAATTTAATTAGAGGATTGCAGGTCTGTTGTAATACAATTACAGTGGCTTATGTGATCCAAACATACTGTGGTTCTGTTAGCTCAGCTCCTTTTGCTTTTCTACCTTAATACTACTGAAAGATAATAAAATACTAATGCAGTTTGAGATTTAGATACTGTCATTTCAAATAATCGAAATCAGTCATATGGTTCTTCAAAGATAGATTTGAACTCATCAATTATCAGGCGCATGATGATTTTTCTGTTGTTGCTGTAGATTAAGTCGAAATTTTAAAAAATAACCAAATTTTCTTTCATTTTATTTTCATTACATCATATAAACACAAAAGTGAAAAGTAGATTTCTTCTCACTTTTCTGTTAAATGCAAAACACAACAAACGCCTTGGGTCCAAAGACGTGACTGCCACATGTTCCTGTTTCTAAGGTGTTGTTTCCCAATACAACTCGCAGCTGTATGAGGGCTGTGCTAGAATATCTCTACACGGGGCGGTTTTGTTCTCGGCCTGACTTGGATGCAATGGAGCTTATTGTTCTTGCCAATCGTCTTTGCCTCCCCCACCTGGTTGCACTTACAGGTATTACATTTGATATAGTTATTACCCTGCAAACCACAGGATTGTATTACACAAAGCCATTGTGTGTGTTTCTAAGTCAATGCCTATAATGACCCCTTTTTATGTCTCTTTCAGAACTCTACACAGTAACAGTATTGACAGAGGCAGCGATGATGGGGGCCGACATTGATGGAGATGTGCTGGTGTACTTGGATATGGCCCAGGTAGCGTGACCGGTCAATCATCTCAAAACAAGGACAGCAAGTAAAGCGCTCACATAATGTGTTGGTCAATTGTATTTTTATAATGAGGGCATTTCTCAGGGAGAACTGCTCTGGAGGCACTGAAGTGGAGAAGAGTCAGAAGTGCAGTCTCTCAGAGTGCAAGTCAGCTATTTGGCAAAATGAATGGCAAAGGATCTTTGAGGCATTGGACTTTTAGGACATAGGAGTCAGGCTCAGGACTATAGTTTATCTCATCATTCAGGCGCAGATGTGTTTCTGGTTCAGTAGTTTCACTTCAGCTCCAGCTCATCAGTGTCAAATGCAAGACTGGATTACCAACCAAGCAAATATCCTCCAGGGGCTACATGCTCCTTTTGTAGCAGTTTGATTAATTACTAATTACTTTGATTATATGCACAACTAAAGCACAAAAATCTAAATTGAAATGGAAAGGGCCTTTAGTTGTTTCCTTCATTTTTTTTTACTTAATCCTATAGAGGAGCCCAGTGTCTGGGGGACACCAGAGGCTTAGTACTGTGTCACCTTCAGCTGTACTTTCTCAGTTGCTATATTAATGCCAAGTTTCTAAAATTAGCTATCTAAAATGTCAACTGTACTCTTATCAAATATAAATAAAAGAATAAAATTTAAATAAAAATAATTTATTTTTCATTCATGCATTAATGACCGTGGCTTTTTAGTGCTGCCCATTTCAGTTTATCTCAAATAAAGAGACATCTGCCTCCAAACCAACAGTAAAACCCCACAACAACGCTGGTCATGCACAAAAATGGTTCACAAACCAAAAATGACAAATAATGATTTTGTATGTTGACAGTTCCATGGTGCCCAGCAGCTCACTGGCTGGTGTCTTCACCACATCTGCACCAACTACAACAGTGTCTGCCGCAAGTTTCCCCGAGACATGAAGTCCAAGTCTACAGGTAAAACACATGTGATACACTTGTTCATACTCCATTTTTTTTTTATTTTTTGTTCATACTAAACACCAACCTGACATACAGTTTGGCAACAAAGTCCCTCAGGTGTTGTGTTACATGAAGACTTGTTTGTCTTGGAACACGGCAGCATGAAATAAAAACCCAGTTTAATGGGCTTTAAAGACAGATGGTCAGTGGACCCATTCCACTGGAATATGACTTATATTTAGTTTGTAGTGCTTCAGAAATAGTCAAGGATTCCCAAACACCATGGTTACTGCCTACACTGGACTGGTTTGATCAATGATCAAAAAGAAGTAATTGTACTATAATGTTGCAGAATCAATAATAACCCACCTTTATCATTATGAATGCTGCTATTTTAGCTGTCGCACATGATGGGAATTAAGGTTGGGTTTCTATATTAAAGTATAATTTGAACAATCTATACAATATGTAAAATAAAATACTGTGGAAAATAAGCAAATATAACTTAAATCTTTTTGTTCCAACTGACATGTGCTGCCTTCTACATAGCATTTTCCTAAAACAGATTATTCTGATGCAGAAAACCAAGAATACTTTGAGAAACATCGCTGGCCACCTGTGTGGTATCTTAAAGAGGATGACCACTACCAAAGAGCACGCAAAGAGCGCGACAAGGAGGACTACCTGTACCAGAGACGGCAATGTAAACGCAAGTGGCTCTTCTGGAACCTCCCTTCCTCCCCTAACTCGAACTCTCCTTCTTCTGGCTCATCCGCTGTCATCTGACCAAGTGGTAAGGCCAGGTCCACTCTGGAGTACATCAATGTGGATGCGAGTTGTAAAAGATACAAAAGAAGATAAGCACTGCTGACTAGGTACGCCCCAATTATTCAGGCACACAGTTTCTCCTCCTGTTTGTTTGCCTCTGCAGTCAAACGGCACTCCTCCAGGTTCGCGAGGTCAGCTCAATCTGGCAGTTACAGTCGAGTTTTGTTCCTTATATTTTTAGCTCGGTGTACATGAGACTCAAACCTCAGTGATATGAACCTCACTGACAAATGGCACAGTGTAACTGGCGCAAATAACAACTCACACTGATTGTTATATGTTTCAACATCTGAGTTTTAAGTTTTAAAAGTAGGACTCTGCTGGCACAGAACTTTCCACCTATGATCATAATTATCATCAATAAACCTGAACTGATAACCAAGTGCTGCTTATCAGCTGCAACAACCAGCAATTCAACACAGAACTTAAGTCTCAGAGATATAACACTTTGCCCTTAAGTGTTTGTACAATCTACCAAACTATGTGTACAGTATGATCTCATCAACAGGATGTAACGATAGTATAGCCAGGAATCAATTACTGAAGTCATTCACTCTAACCATGCTGACTACGATCGTGTATGCATAAATGAAAATACTGGCAAGTTTATTTTTGTACAGTCATTCTGTTTTTGAATGTTTGTGTACGGCTTGCACAGCTAAAAGTGACGTGAGTCTGAACACACTCCGCATTTAAGTATTGTGATCTTGTGATTTGTGGCCTCTTGTCACAAAAGGGCTTTAGTTTACATGAATGCATTCAGTGTCCTGAGACACAAGAGATCCCAAATCAAGGAAAATATCTATATTTTCTGTAAAATGCCAGCAAAAACAAACCAGACCATATTATTCCCGATGTGTTGCTTGATGAGGCTTGTTGGCACACATGTTTCCTGAGTCCTTCAGATTTACATTGAATGGTCCCATTAGCATGTTCACTGTCATCCTGGAAAACTACACATAATGCATCTCAGAACCAATAGCAGCATTTCCAGAGCTGAAGCGACGACATATACATTACCATTCCTCTGTGATGGTGGCGTTTGACGCATCTGTCACTGGTGATGATTTGGCCTTTAGAGATTTATCTTAGTTGATCAGAGGATGCCCCTTGACTGTCTGCAGTTGGCTGTGTGAGACTTGTACATGCAAGAGGCTTCCTCATGCCTGGGTGAAGTCATCCATATTCTCTTACACACCTCGAGCACTTTCTGGACTCTTCTCCACAGAGACACACACAAAAACCTCCAGTAGCAGGATCCTGGTGAACAGCACTAAAGACAGTATGGTGTCATGACAAGCTGCCGCAAATTTTAAAAAAGGAACTGGGGAGGATACGAGACCATGATATTTAAAATGTTAAAAAAAAAAAAAAAAAAAAAAAGTTGTGAGGAGGTTTAGATCAAATCATTTTCTTGATTTGTTTTGCACACCTCACAGTATATGTTCAAGATTGTCATCTACCTGATTGTAGGATGGACTGCAGCATTATTTGGATTTGTAAGCATGGTGCTCAGTGAAGATGGGTAGTATTGTAAATTGTACAAAATATCAGATGAACTGCAAGTAACTTGCATCACACTAATGTGCAGTTTCCTAATATTGTGCACTGCAGGCAGTGAGAAGACTCATACCGTATTACTGAGTAATACATATACTGAATATAGACTTGACTTATCCGACTTGCATTTAGTTACTGTGCAGCTACAAACTGTTGTTGAAAATAACTGAATACTCATCGTGCTGACCTCGAGTTACTTCTATTATATACTGTAGTATACATGCAAATTACAGGCAGTTCAAATGAATAGTTGACTAATAGTAAAATAGGATTACAGTGCAAAGTAGACACATGTTTATATAACTTACATTATAAAGACTTATGGTACATTCATAAACTCACCATTGTTATCAAAAGAGTAAATTCTGATTGCAGCATTTGCTTTGCAGCACATGTTAAAGAAAGGCTTGCTTTAATTCTGCATATGATTGGTTATACTTTTCCATACAGTTGTTGACTAGACAGATATTAGATAGAGCCCAACAAAGCTTCAAATGATTAAGTGGTATAAAACAATTCAGTGACAAAACCAATTTCTTGCTTGTAATAACTCCTGACCTAACTACACTGCATGAACAGGGCTCACGGCAAAATAGATGAAGTTGATTCATTGTCATTTAAAGTGTAAGCTATAGATAAGTGATGGTGCTGGTGCTCTAAGCAGTAGCTTTAAATTGTTTTCAATTACATTAATTTTGTCTATTGCTAATGAAACATAGGAACTGTCATTCTGATTATCATAATAGTTCAAATCTTTTGGCATACATGGTCAGACATTAGGCAGAAGGATGAGCCACCAGGAGCATGGCACTCTTTTAGAGTCAGCTTTATTCTAATTCTGAATGTTTTCATTTATTCATAAATTAATTAATTTATTTGATTAATAAACAATAATGTCCAGTTTTCTCACCAAATATATGTTTATTATAATAGTTTAACACCAGGTCTATATTGTTATAATTGTTATCATTTGCCTTGGTGGTGTGATTGACAAAGTTCATAGACATGCATTTCATTCCTCAGTGCATTGCATTTCTCACTGAATCTACTGCTGTTTTGCATCAACAACACCTCATGCCTTAATGTACAGTGTAGTGTATGGTATCGAATGTAAAGTAGTGTTACTATGGTTACTAGTTTGTTTGCTATATGTTAAGTTACCATGGTGCTCTCTAGGCTGTGTGTGTATTTGTAAATGTACATAATTCATAATTTGGATGTAAAGCAATCAGTCAGTGTGTGATTTGAGGAGTCCGATGAGTGTGCTTCAGTTTGAACACTGCGTAGGGTTTATGTCCTTTTAAAGCCGAAACACAAAACTAATTAAAGACTCTGATCATCAAGGCCACATTAGACTAACACAATGACAAACCATCAATTTATGACATTAACTATGAAATGAATGCAGGGATTTCAATTTTGTTTTATTATTTTAAAGCTGCTTTATGCTAATGAGCTCCATTTTTGGAGTCTGCATAGTTACAAAATGCTGAGACAGTGTGGCCATTGGAAGTTAGAGTCTAACTCAAACCTGTAAATATAAACTGTGGGATGACTTGCAAATCAAACTTGGCATAGCAATTGATACAAGCTATTGCATAGTTTAAGTAGGTACTGTTTTTGTACTATGCACACTGAAATGTCTGACTTTGAAACTACAAACTTGCACTGCTTTGTAGCACCAGGTTCTATTCAAATTACATTAGATGGTATTGCAACATCATTAGTTAGGTAGACAACATCAGGTAAAAAAAAAAGAAAAAAAAAGATTAGATCATAAATTACAAAGTCACTGGGGCCCTTTTCCATACGTTTGGGTGCTAATATCACCGCTGCAGAGAAGCACAAACCAAAGGGAGCTTTAGCAGCACCAGGAATATATTATATATGCTGCACAATCACTACTGCATAGTTTAAGAGGCCTTGTTCAGAAATGGTTGAAAATTAAATAAAAAAACAATAAATGAAAAGAAAAAAAAACTTGAATGTTTTCTCAGTGTTCAAAGCCTAGATGACATTTTCCTTAGTCATCAGGTATTTTTGTTCTCAAGAGCTGTTTTTATTGTTTAGGAGCTGTAAATCTGAAATTCTGTAGCATGTGTTCTTGAAAATGTGTAAGTAATATTTACTAAATAAAAAAAAAAAAGGAGCAACGTGTGCAGTTTGGGTATGGCGCCAGTCTTTTTTTTTTTTTTTTTTTAAACCTTTTATAGTTGTGTCATATGAAACTTTTGCAGCCTCATCTCATACGTCAGTAGGATCCTCCACTGCGCAGAGGCGGCAGCAACGACAGCGTCTGAACCAGCTGAAGAAACCAGCTGAAAAACACAGGTGGACGACTTCTGAGATGGTAATATTAATGCGGTCTTCTACTACTGTGCTGCAGTCTTCTACAGTTTTATTTAATGTTTGTTCACTTGACAAATTGTAGGCCACCATGTCGTCATGTAACCTAATACACTGCATAAATATAAACAAGCTAAAACAAGTGAAGGCTAAACCTATGCTTGTTACAAAAAATGGGTGTGAAATGGGTCACGTGTCATTTGTCATATATCCTGAAGTTTGAAAATAGTGACATGGCATGAAAGGTCTCTGCAACTTAGCCAAGTTACGTTTAAATATAGTACGTATGTAGCACGTACCACTTTTTTTTTTGCAGTGTAGCGCGTGTCCTCCTATTTGTGTCACGCGCGACAAAGATTTATATAGTGATACAAATCAAGACCAGTGTTTTTTATCTTTTGAATGTAAATTAGGATTCTTCTCGTCGTAAGCAGTGTCGTGTGTAGTGCTGCTGATGTGTCATCTGGTGCAACAGGTGTAGGCGGGGTCAGGTGTATACATAAGCCCTGATTGGCCCACACTGTACAACAGGTGAAAAGACTTCATAGACTCATAAGCAGGTCAAGTATTGAAATGTAACCAAACCTAAAGTAGCATAACATTTTCAGCCTAATGAAGTAAATACATCAAAGTACAGCTGAAATATTGGGGCACTCAACAGAAAATTGATCACTAATTATCCTGATAATTGCTTCATCATTTGTGTAATTTTTCAAGGAAAACTGTCGACAATATTCTGATTCCAGCCTCTCAAATGTTAAGGTTACATCTTTTCTTTGTCTTACATTGTATTATTTTCAAAAACATTTGGCTTGGAGTTCAGACAAGCTCAGTGAAGGAGTCATCTTTTGCTCTAGGATCTTGTATCTAGTATTTTAAAGTATTTTCTGACATTTTATAGTCCAACAATTAGTCAAGTTATCGACAAGATATTTGACACATTGTTAATCATGAAACTGATTAATAGTTGCATGCCTACACTAAAGCTATAACTCATCACTTCAATAACAGATACTTTACACCTCTGGCAAACACAATTTTGATTTACTGCTTGACAGATAAATGACATGTATGTTGCACGGTCATTCATTAGAAATGAAATAGTGTGACACTCTTCTACCGGCCTGTCAGTATAGACAGGTCTGCTTTGACTTTGACAGTTAGACTACAGTATACTGCTTGGCAAAATAACAATACTATTTGAATGTAACAGAGTCCAAAACTAAAACATTTCCTCAGCATAACTTATTTGTTGAAAATAATTTCTTCATGCCTGACTAAGTGCTGTTGTCCTGCAGGCTGCACCAGTGTCATTTTTGGTGTTACGTGCCTGCATTTTGGGGCTTTTCCATGTGGAAGCAACACCGGACACCCTGAGCTCCCTGGATTCTTCTTTCTGTCAGTAAGTAGATCATAACGCTTCAGAGAGCTGTAATCATAGTCTAATGGCAATGGCAGGTAAACCACACCACACAAAATCAACATGGCAGAGACAGAAGAACCTGATCTGACGCTTCTTTTTCTCACTAACTGTTGGCAGTATTTGAACATTTTAAGTAAGTTGACAATGTTTATATCAGGCTTTGAGCCTGTTGGTATAGAATGTACAGTACAGAATGTAATACAAAATTATGTAGAATGAGTTTCAGCTTTTATCTCTCTTAAATAAAGTGGGGGACTAGAAGTGATCTATCCGGAGCTGGACGTCGACCATTGCCTCATAATTCCAAAGGGCCGCGAAGTCAGAGAGAAAGTCAGCACAGTTTGGAAAGCCCCACAGATTTACTTCTCTGGAGCACACAAGGTAAGAGATGTGTGTGTGTCAGTGATTTTATGTTGTTTGTTTGTTGGGGGTGTCAGAGTAATCAAATAGTACTATGGAGCCTGTACTGTAGCGTGCATTGATTATAATTCTATCTCTGCTGGTTATTAAAAAAGAATATTACCCACATTTTCTTTTCGAATAGTAAACTGAACCGTCACAGGGCACAAAAAAACTGACGTGCATTGGTACATCTGCACATTAAAGCTACATACTGATTTTAGGAAGTTTTCAATAGGAAATCCTCATCTCTTCGTATCAGCTTATCATTCCTCTACCCTTATTAAACAGAACTATATGTATTATACCTCAGAAAAAGGGGTCTGAAATATGATAAAAGGTGTTATGGGGATGTTTTTGACATTATGCTGTCTGAGAAGTTTCATCTTTATGTAATCAGTGTTATTTGGCAAACATGCACATGCTTATTTTTGACACTAGAGTGCAGTAATGCATTAAATAGACAGCATCTCAACCTCAACAGAGCAGGCCATGGGTTACTCTCACAAGAAACAAAGTGTTCACAGTATTTGGCAGAATATTAAACTAAAAAAAAAACAAAAAAAACAACTAATCATTAACAATTTTAATGTCAGGTTACTCTTCAGTTTTAAGCGTCTTTGTCACCTTCTAGTATCTGCATTACCGGTACAGATTACTGGTTCACTGTAGTAATTTGTACCACCAGAGTGGGGTGCTAGCACATCATACTCATAAGCCACTCGATGAAAAATTGTGTTAAACCACAGTTATGTAGTATCTACATTTGTAGTTCATACTATTCAGAATGTCAGATAACATACATTGTAAAGTTTGTAATGCTATCATTGGTATCCTTAATTCAGTAACTAATAATAGCCCAGGTTTGATGGGTAAAAACTCTAATCATACCGGTGACGTTACAGACAATCAATCTCCAGCCTCAGTTTGGTGTCAGTTGCAGTTATTAGAATGAACTGCAGCAGACAGCAAACAAAGCTGTGCATGCTTCAGAGAATCAGTGTATGAAACACTTTTCTTTAATGGCAAACCAAGTTTAATAACAAAATAACTTTTACTCAAGTTTAAAATCACAGTAACTGTAAGACAAAGCAGAATGAGAAACATAGATCACTAATTATGATTCATTTATCAAAATGACTGGAGGCTGAAATCCAAAGTAATGCATTAAAACTACTGTTTAGAGTTTGAGCGTAGTGTTAAAATTTTAGATAAATTTGATGTAAAAGATTGCAAAAAAAATTCAGTGTCAGAATGTTATTAGCTGATGACATTAAAGGAGCACTGGAAACGCTTTTAAGAAGACTGTGGCTTTAACAGAACAGCCCCTAAATACCTTTGATACCACATGAACTGAAAAGAGAAACAAGTTTGGAAGATGGGTTGACAGAACATGAAGTAGGGCTTGAATGTCTGTTCATCTAAATACTTGTGCCAGACATAGAATCATGACAGAGATTCATTCACATGATCCGTGTAGTATTCATTTATTTATATGTGTATGTCTCACTGAGCCATCTTCTGTGTAGTTTTATTGTTGAGCGACAGATTGAGAGAGATACACTTCCCAGTCCTCAGAACCCCTGCTGAAGTTGACAATGGAATTACACCAAATCTTATATCTGTAAATTGAAAACTAAAATTGAAAGCCACCTCGATTTAGGAGCTAGTTTATGAATTCCACAGCTAAGCAGTCTAGCTTGAACATGATCTATTGCCCTTCTCTTGCTCAAACTCCCTTTGATCTATGGTCGTATTATCTGTAATGCTGTCTTACATGATTCTCTTTTATTGCCAGAATCAGTGCTAGACAGCAAAACAGATTACATGTTAGATTAAATCAATACAAACTTTATTTACTGGGCTTTGAAATGTAATTCTCCATTTCTCCTGACACTTAAGCAAACACGCACTATTGAAGGCTCGGATTGTTGCCTGTGGTTCTGTGGCTGGTCTGCTGGTCCACCACGCTTTCTGTCACTGTGCCATGCTGCCAGTGTTGCTGCTATTCTTTGCCACTCAGCCCTTGTACCCAGTAGCAGGAATACAGAATAGTGGCCGTTCAGGCTCAAATCCACCCACTGTAACACCCACTTCATTACTGGGACGGGATGCATGCCTGCTGAGTAATTGTAATGGAGCGCAATGGGCAGTAGTCCCATAAAAACGCCTCTAAATAGGTGCTCATGACCAAAAACAAAAGCAAAGGGCCACAGAAACTGCAGATTTCTGTGTCCAAACTTCAGAGCAACGATTCACCAATTGAACTTATGTGTGAGTAAAACCTGGCACGTGTCTTAATGAAGCATTTTTAGAAGCCCTGATTACACTCAGATGCCTCAAAAGCATCTACAGTTCGATACAAGTGGGACATGTATTGGCTAACGTTACTAAACTATAAAAACATGACTTAGTCTGATAAATAAAGTTAGTGTGAAGTGATAATAAAGACTGGAAATTAATGAGAACATGCATATGCACATACATTCACCTCTGAACTCTAAAAGGAACAACAGTAGATAATGAAACTGTCTTCAACTACATTTCCTGTGGAAGAAGGTTTTGAAATACCATAATTGTGCCATATAGACTAAGAAAAGTTTTGACCTTAAGGATAAAGCTATGCGTTTTGAGGGGAATGCATAACATAGGTGTGATTCCAGTTTTGTCCCACTAAATGTGATATTGTCTGAAACAACATTTAAATGGGTTGTACCAATGCAGAGCTACGAATAATCACCATCCTTGGAGTCCTACAGCTTTTCATGACTGTATAGGCCTAGTTGTAATATCCAAAATTACACAGTACAGTGACCTTATAATAAGTCAAAATTTAGGACATTTCTTGTCTCAAAAAATCCTTTGCTTCTTGCTCCAGTCTCACACTTCTGGATTTTTTTGGTAGCGGCCAGGAGCATCAGTTAACTTCAGCATTACCAAGAAAAAGTGTTAAAACAATCAAAATGACAGGCAGAAGACACTCGTATATAATTTGATTCAACTAAAATTCTAATATTTGACATAGATGCTGTACGAATGACTCCCGACACATAAAGGTAATAATGATGTAGCAGAGAAGCTTTCACCCCTGTAAATGACATGCTCAGCAGGTCTAACATGAGAGCCAGGGCTGTGCTCTCATGACATCCTTACTGGTTTTCCAAACCAACTCTTATGTTTGATCTACAGTGACACCTTGCTGTATATAGTGTCTCAGGAGAATGATCTGAACGAAGACATCCTCAGAAGCAAGGAACCAAATCTGTAATTGGAACCAACTTCTTCTAGACTCAGAAGATTAATATGTAAAGTCAGAATCCAACTTTGTAAATCACATGTGTGTGCTGTGATAAATCCTGTCTTCGAGGTCAGCCTACAGCCCACAAATTTGCCCGTCATAGAACATTGTAAAATGTATTTTTTGGTCACATACTGCTACCTGTATGTATGGACTGCATTTATATAGTACTTTTCTAGTCTAGTCTTTGAATTATTTTATTTTGCAAACAGCGCGATTAGATTAGATTAATTTTAGCATGACTTACAAGACCAATAAAAAAAAGCATATAGTGTGACTTTGCTATGCAGCTGTTTTGAAATATATGTAGACATACATATACATATAGTATATATACATTAACATGCTCTATACATTATTTTATAACATGCACGTTCATTTTTCCTCGTTGTTCTTGGCATAAACAACACAGGCCACAGGAGCTATCTTTACCTCATAGTTGCTCCAAAAGTGGAGACAGTTTTGGAGTTGTTGTTTTCTTTTTTTCTTTTTTCAGTAAGGACCATAGCCACAGGGCACATTCTTAGACATGGGGGATTTCAAAGCCTTGTTTTTGGGTAGACATTTCTTGCATCTGGTGGATGGAATGAGGGTTTAAACCATTACTGCGATTAGAGCTGCCTCACTATGATCTCTTGAGCTTGCTTACTGCTGCTAATAGCTGTTTCCTCTCTATTTCCCTCTATCTTTTTCTTTTTCGCTTTCTCTCTCTCTGTGAATGATTTTTATGCTTCGCTAAAACATGTGGGGGCGTTGAGAGAGGATTTAAATGCAACGATCCCCCTCCTCTTTTTTTTTGGTGAATCTCAGCGTTCTTTTCTGCAAGCCTCTGATGACGACAGGGCAGCTTTAAGCCTGGCAGTGCCCACGGCAGGCTGCCGTCTCAGCGCTGCCCACTCTCCTCTGTGTTGGCATGCTGGAGAAAGCGAGGGTGGGGTTCCTCTCTAGCAGACCCTGTCATTCCTAGGAAAGCCTACATGTCCACCCATGCAGGATTCCTGATAGGTCTTCATGTTGGGGATGTGAGAGCGCAAAGATAGGGATTTTATTTTCAGTAGGCGATGGTCTTTATTCAGTGAAGAGTCAAGGATGTATATTTAGATAAACAGACAAGGCACTTGCTTGAGCCTTTACATGACCGTGAGGGTCAACAAGTGAAGCATGTACTATAATATCCATCTAATTGCATATTCACTGTCATCAGGTGGGTGTTTTTGGCTCTGCTGGATTAAATCAGTGTGTTTGGCTGAGATTCAGAGAGTTTATTTCCTTAGCTAATGTTCCCCTTTGTCATTATAACACCATGTTAAGCTGACCCGTGTCCCGCTCCATTCAGTCATTGCCCATTACTACACAGCATATATGATTCATGCAAGCTTCTCAAGAGGAAAGAATTACAACCTTCTTCTACTAGTACGATTGATTATGCATATTCAGGGGAATGAAGAGATGCAATAAACCTCTCAAGCCACAATCTCACACAGAAGAATAATTTTCACCTCGAGAAACATGTGTGTGGCATGCAGACGACTACAGGTGCAAGCAGAACTATTCATACAAATTGTAGCGCTGCAAGGTTTCAGTTTTGCCCTCACATGGTAAGACTGAGGGCAAAAGGATATGTGCAAATGTCTTTCATGCATAAGTGAAACTGCACCTGACACATATATATCTCATGAGCAGT